ATCACTGTCTAAGGAAATGCTCTGTGACAGGGAAATTATTCAAATATCTCACTCGACGAACTTCCTTCAATAACAAATTTCCCAATTTCGTCTTCAGCCAAAAAAGATTTGATACGCTTGTTACTGACTGCGCATTGAATAGCCTGGCCAAAAAGCATTGAAAAAATTGCCATAGGAAAACGAAGAATATTGAAAAGAGCCAATCCCACGAACGTCACTTGAGGAGTAAGTACATTCGAAGCACTGATATTGACATAAACTCCAAAAGTAATTACAGTAACCAGAAATGGAGCACAAGACCAAGATAAAGTTACCGCTGCATTATAATAAGCCAAACAACGCAGAACTTTCAGTTCTTTTTGCCGTATAGCCAAGACCTCAAGTGAGACTTATTAACAACTCGTCACATTACAGTAACGCTAAAGAAGGCGTTCACAACTAATTTTTTAAATTAAAACAGTTCCAAACAGCTAACTGTAAAAATTTTAAAAACTGTCAAAGTTGAAAACCAAGTGAGAATTACAAAGGCACCTCAAACTCTTTAGGAAATAAAAAAAATTCGCTTGTAAACTTACTAATCATTACCATTTTTTGCATGCTTTTTTCCCAGGCATAGAACTTGAGTACCTTTATACCGTTTAATATTTCAGACATCAATTTCAGACGCTCATCTTTATGTTTCATTTGCTCCACCTGCAAAAAAAACCATTCCAATACATACCTAATCCTCATTTTTTTAAAAGCTAAATTGCTTCGTTGAACCTAAAAAATAAAAAATAAGTACTAAGGTAGAAAATTTAGCGCTCAGCGGAGAACTCACCTGGGCAGTCCGCATTTTATATGCAAGTAATGCATTCAGTGGAATTAACCCCGTAAGAACAAATAAACCGGCAAAGACAGCAACCCCTAATAGCCGCCACAAAAAGTAAATTGATAAAAGAACCTAAAAGAACATTTTTTAAAACTCCAGAAGTCCAACATCAAGCATCAAGGACAAGTGCGGGAGGTAAAAATGAGTCGAGACAACGAACCTGTAAAGGAGCAGACCCAAACAAAAGAACAAATGACGTCATGTCTTGAAAACGTTGAGTATCAACAGACATTAAATTGACAATTTCCCCAACAGTACGATTCTTCCTCGCAGAATTAGACAGCGACAACGCCTAAAGAACAGTCCTGCAGGTATAAAAGGCTGCTGCCTCAAGAACTTTCGCTCTGTTTCAAAATTACAATGAAAACTTGTTTTTGCTTGATGTATAAAACAAACTCGCCTTTGAATAAATTGCAGATGTTAGTACAGAACGGATGTTCATCCCAGCAGTAAACATAGTGTGAAAATACTGATGAAGGACCTGAAAAACAAATCTCCTTCCAAAAACAAGATTGATAAACTCAGTAGCCAATGAGATACAAGAAGAAATAGAAGAGTTAAAAAGCATTTTTTTATAAAAGAATATAAAACTTAATAACAGTTCTCAAATTAACCATTAAAATCATTGACGAACTTACAAGTGATTGAAAAAGAGCAACAAAAAACATAAACAGTGAGATCGATATTCCAACCCACATAGGGCTGCTTTTGTCTTCAATAAAAGAAATCAACATCCTAAAATAAAATTACTCAACAGGTTACATACCGTGGTTCATCACTATCCTACAAAATAATACAATTTTACCCAAAAGACATACTTACTTTAATAACTGAGGAGAAACGAACTGAAGAAGATCAAAAACAAGCTTCAATAATGCACCACTAATAAAACTCCAACGAAACGTCTTAAATAATGGCCAAATAACAGAAGGCAAACTTTTTTCGTCGGGAACCTTAAATAACTGCTGATTAATTTCCTACGCTAAATTGATTTAAAAGTACGATTACTAATGACCTGCAGAAGAGCTCCGCCTGATGTTGGACGCCTTCGTTCGTAATATGCTAAAAAACAGTTATGATCGTGAATTTAAACCGTTATTAAAACAAAGAACAAACGTATATTGCTAGTGCATCGGTACTACACAAAAAATCGTTAAGTAGCGCTAAGTGCAACCTTTTAAGGAAGGCAACCAGTGTTTGTTGAATTGAGGAACAAGGACTTTAGACTGATCTTGAGTTTTCAACTTCCACAAATCAGAGATTTGCAAACTTCGCCTGCTGCCTTTGAACGCTAGGCCATTGAACCAGTTAAAAGTTATTTGATTCAAAAAAGAACAAGACTCCTCAGGACACATTTGTCTCTAAATAAAAGGTATTTTAAATAAAAATAGCCAAAACAACTGTCTTAAGCAGAAGTTTAAAACTATCTTTTTCTTCTTAACAGCTCTGGAGAAAATACAAGAACTAATTATAAAGATGAATAAAACTAACATCAGTAACTTTGTAAGCAGGAGTATCGGCAAAACACGACAGCAACAATTCTAATAAAATTAGTGGATATGCAATCATAAATAAAACAAAAGGCACCCATTGACGGTCGTTCTCCTAAAAGCAGTAACTGCATAAAAACAAAATTAATAATGAAAAAGTGTCTATCTGAATAAAAGAATAATTCTCCTTTCCCAGTAAAAATAAAAAAAGTAATAGACTAGCCTAATCAAAAAATCACACCTCAATGTACAAAAATCTTGACAATCTCCATCGGAACTCTGGAAATCGACAAATAGCCATTAAAAGCCAAAAATTAAAAAGAACTCCAGACGTGACCAGTCCACGCTTTTTACTCGCAAACAACATAATTAGAACGATGCAGAATGCCAAGTACTGAGCAGTTGCAGAAACTAAGTTCAGATTATGAAAATCGGGACCGATTTGATGACCAAATGCACCAAAAAATAACTGATATCCACCGTAACATGACAAGAAAACGCATATCACCTAAAAAAACATTAGAAAAATTTTTTAGCCACTGGCAGGAAAGGCTTGAAAAAAATAGTTTATTCTCCACCCCAAATCATTTCGAACTACTAAATACCCAAAATTATTAAATTGCAAAAAAAGTAAATACCACCATATAACTTACGATACGCCCAGTTATAGGAGAGAAGGCTTCTAACGGTCCATTATCACTTTTATAAAGACTAAACAAAACCAAAGGAGCAAATATGAATAGAAATATACATGGAGTTAAAATTAAAATAGATTCTTGAACGCATTCCGATAAATGTGGAAAACTGGAATTCAACGTCTTATCAAAAAGCTGAAAAAAGTAATGACTGTTAGGTACACAACTAAAAAGTGATGTAAGACAAGACCTAAAAGCAAGTAAAGACCTAATACACTACAGCAGCAAATATTGTATAACACAGCAAAAAATATTATAGCTAAACAAAAAAAGGCTTCAAATGAGCCTAATCTAAATCGTACGATAGAAACAAGAAAACCGTTTAGTCTACCAAGCTTATGAGAAGACCTGACTCTAATTTGACGTGAACGTCTAGCGACAACGCAAAAGCGTATGGATTCAAAAAACCACAAAAGATTTGAACTCTTGAAAAGTATAAAATTTTATTAGTGCTAGAAGTCCTAAATTTCTGGGGTGAGTTGTCAAATTCATTCATATATTATCAAAAGAAAACTATCCTACCCTTTCTACAGTTACTTAAAACAACAAGTTTTATTTGAATGGAGAAGTAGTTGGTTGAAACCCTATGTGAAAAAATTTACAATTTAAAAAGAGTGAAAAATTGAAATTTTCACCTGAAAAGTATTTTGGTTACATAAAGCTCGTGCGATGGAATCCATAACAGCTGACGGCAAGAATTTTTCATAGACTTTTATAAATCAGAAGCAACGGCAGTGTAACGGTAGGCATTAAAGTATCATCACTGAACAAATACCAAACCATCAACAGTTTATGATTTTCGGGTTAAGTCCTTTCCATGTACGCTTTCTAAATGCAACAAAATTATTACTCTTAAGACCTAAATAACCATTTTTTAGTACATAAAATAAACTTTCATTCACTAAAGCTGCTCCTTCCTTCCGTCTCTCCACATCATCCCCACCTCCTTCTCGTTTATAATAGCATCAAACGCGTAAATTAAACATACTATTCAACAACTGACAAAATCCGTAGCACGATGCATAGCAATTTGAAGGCCAAAAACAAAAAAGGCAACAATTTTTTCTGCATTAGAAATAAAAATATAGTGAATAATCAACAGAAATTTTAACCGTTCCCACAATAAGCAGTGCTTTAGAAATATATTAAATGTAATTTGTAATTTAAAAATTTATACAACTTTTACTGGCTGTATTCTAATAATAAACAAGTGGGAAAAAATGCGCAGAAAAAAAGCATGAGAAAAATGTGAAAAACTTTGATATCTGTCGTTAAATTCTAGGCAAAAAAATAAAATATTTTCAAAAACTTCTGTTGCCGCCGACTGACTATCGAATCGAAACTAAGAAAAGGAAAGAAATAAAGAAAAGGAAAGAAATAAACAAGAAGCTAATCAAATTGGATTATACAACTGAACTGTATCATGCAGTCTTCTCAGCAAATGAACTTTATCGGCAACAGAAGTCGCAGATGCCTGTCCCTATCAGATTCTAAATTCTGCTCTACTCATTTAACAGCTGCTTGATGAGTTTCAAACAGACACGCCTTTCTTCCTCCCCTCCTCCCCCTCTCCCCCCAGCTTATTCCAGTCGCTTTCCTCCGTTCCCTTCCCTCCATTACTCAAGAAATTTGTTTAGGATGCAACGGTGCAACAATTTTCCGCTAGCACGCAAGCAACTAAGCAACCAATCAACCCAACGAACAAGCAAAAAAACAAACGATTAACACAGTTAATTGAACATCTGAACCAAACAACCATTAAAACACATTTCAGCTAATACCTTTGCGGATACTATTCCCCTAACTTAGCGCTAACGACAACTGTTGGTTATTTCAGAAACAAAAGCAGCAACAACAACAGCAGCAAAAAACAGCGGCTTATCCACAAAACATTTTACAGCTAAGCAATGAGAAAATAAAAAACAAA